TTTGTGGTGTTGCTAACACCATAAGCACTGTTGGAGAACGTCCAAAATGAGGCCAGTTGGTTGCACTGCGTGCTGTACAGTTGTAGGTGGGTATTTACTTCTGCCTGGAAGTTTTTTAATCATCAGGAATTTACTCCATATCCCCCCCCCCATCTTCTTGTCTCAACTTTGCCTCTGACTTCCTCAGTTCCCAGGTTTCATGGTTACATGAGAGTAGCATGCCTCTTACCTTACAAAGCAATAAAATCCATAACTTGAATTATCTCTACTTCCGCATTTTCTTTCTGAAAAATCTCCATTTTTTCAAATATAATGATTTTTAATTTTGTTGGTTTTGAGAATATAAAGAAACTACTTTGACCATTTGAACATGTACAGGGGCATTTATGACATTCTTTGCATTGTGCGACCATTCTTTCTTCATTATTTCTTTTTTTTTCATTATTATTATTTTGTATGCGTGTACCGTCAAATCAGATCTGACTGGTACAGGAGGATATTGCGCCTCCTTCTCTGGCAGAGCATCTGGTGGCTTCGAACCATGTTCCTCTTGGATTGCAGTGCAGCTTCTTGCCACTAGGCCACCAGAGCTCCCCTTTCTTCATTATTTCTTGACCTGTGAATATAAATTCACTACCCCTTTTGGTTCCTATCTAGTTTTTGAACTGTTTTTTTGTGTCTTTGATCTCATATACATAGTTAATAAAATGATATCATGCTCTAAGTAGACATTTTTACTAGTTAAAATATTTTATTCGCTAAAATAATGTTTAGGTTTTTGGTTTTGTGCCTTTTTTTAAAAAATAATGTTTAGTTTTAAGGAAACTTACAGGGATTGTTTTTTGCCACTTTTTATTGCTCCCATGTTTGAAGGCTATAGGAAAAGCCCTTCTCGTGCTAACCCCTTCAGTCTTGTCTTCTCAGCCCTCTTTAGGGATCTGATTTCATCAAGTGTTTGCCTGCTGCATCTTCAACCTCTACTTCTAAGCATGTTCTGATTTCTCATAACTTCTCGCTTCTCTTCAGCAGGTTTCTTGAAAACACAGTCCCCTCTTATTATCACAAATAAACCACAGGCAGCACATCGTTAGCCTCTTCCCACTGCCCATTTTCTTCCTCTTCCATTTGCCATTTCTGAACCCTCCTCATAGCTGACTCTCCATCAGGTTTTTAGAGGCAATTAATCTCACAGGAGGAGAGTATCCATCCTCCTACGGAGCAGCTTGTGGATTTGAACCGCATGCCTTTGGGATTGCAGCACAGTTCCTTACTAGTAGTGGGCCACCAGAGCTGTTCCTTTAATGTTTTCAAGTTCTAATTCTATTCCTTCCAATCTTTCAAAGCAATATTAATCACAAGAATTATATCAACCAGCATGTGCTGTGCATTTACAGTGTGCCAAAAATCTAAATGTTGTTCTTTTTCCTCACCCTGTTTATTTGGCAAAACATATAAAAGAAAAAGAATAGTCTGGATTTAAACCAAGTGTGTTTGCTCCGAAACCTCTACGCCTAAGCCTTCATCAGGGAGTATTAGATTTAAATTAACAGTTAACAAGTTCTTTTGAATCTATTTCCATGTCTCTTACTTCTAACTCCTGTTCTTACTACATCAGGCTCTTAAAAACTTCCTGCTTCCTGACTAGTCTTGATACCATCAGTATTTATTACTCCTCCTTAAGAACAAATTTGATCATGTCATTCTATTGTCCAAGGATCTGCAATGGTCCCTGGTAGCCCAGCTTATCAAGTCTACACTTTTGTATCCGAATCAGCTTAAAGAACCTTTTCTTTGCCAACTTTTCCTACATTTCCACATTTCCTGCATTTCACTCTTTCCTGCCCAGTATGCACCTCTGTATACCCCTAAACCTGCTTTTAAAGGTTCAGCTCAATTGTTACTTCCTCCAAGGTTTCCTACACATTCCATCATCAACTACCACCCATTAGACTACCTCCTACAATAAGCTAGAGGTAGTCTTTCTCTTCTGTGCCAATATCATATTTCTACCTTTCATTTCTCCCCTCTATTTCCCCTCTCTCTATCTCAACCAGTTATTCAATCGATCACTTTTTTTAGATTGTACATTTGTACTCTTCTATTATTTTTTAATTTTTTTAACATCTTTTCACTTTTAACTATAATGAGAAGAATGAGAGTTCCAGAGCACTTAATTGTGCTCATATGGAACCTATACCTGCAATAGGAGGCTTTTGTGTAAACAGAGCAGAACACTGCATGGTTTAAAATTGAAAAGGTTGGATTCTCTCTCCATACATATTTAATCTTTATGCTGAGCAAGAGTTGAGAACTGGACTCTATGAAGAGGAATGTGGCATTAGGCTAGGAGGCAGGTTCATCCATAACCTGTATTATGCAGGTAACACAACCTTGCTTGCTAAAAGTGAGGAGGACTTGAAGCATTTGTTGCAGAAGATCAAGGAATGCAGCCTTTGGTATGAATTGCATCTCAATGTCAAGAAAACAGTTATTCTTACCACTGGACCAATAGGCTACATCGTTGCGGATGGAGAGGAAATTGATACAGTCAACAGTTTCATCTTGCTTGGATCCACAGTTAACACCCTACCAGCTGGGAAATAAAGAGACACATTGCACTGGGAAAATCTGCAGACCTCTCCAAATGACTGAGGAGTAATGATGTCAGTTTGAGGAGTAAGGTGCTTCTGATTCAGGCCATAGTGCTTCTAATCACTTGCTGTTCATCTGAGAGCTGAACAGTGAATAAAGATGTCAGAAGAATTGATGCCTTTGAGGTGTGGTGTTGGAGAAGAGCACTGAGCATCCCATGGATGGCCAAGAGAACAAACATATATCCTGGAGAGGGTATAACCTAACATATTTTGGGCATTTGCCAAGAGGGGCTATTCCTTGAAGAAGGACATGGTGTTGGGAAGGGTGGAGGATCAGTGAAGGAGAGGAAGACCTTCGACCAGGTGGATTGACGTGGTGATTGCTGCAGTGGTCACTTGTGTATCAAGAAGTGTGAGAATGGCACAGGATAGAACAGGGTTCAGGTCTTTTGTTCATAGGATTACTAAGAGTCATACTCATCTAGCAACAGCAACACTCATAATTGGGCATTCTCCTCCCGTGAAATTAACAGCTTCTGAAAACTTGTTGGAGGGTCAGCTATGGGTCAATTCCAACTCAATGGTACCAAAAAAATACCAACTCTCAATTTCTCAGTCCCTGCTTTTAACAAATCTTATCAATTCCTTCTTTATTAAGCGTACACAAAGATTACAGGGGCAAAGGAATAGATCAGCCATATAGTAAAATGGTTAAGAAATAAGTGTGATACAACAATATAAGTAAGAGAATAAAATGTGGAACAATAATGCAAACTTAAACTGAAGTAGTACATATTAGCTAAGGTGAAATATTAGGAACACAGTTGGGGGGATTGCTAGCAAACAGAGAGAGATAATATTGATTAGCTATTACGAACGTAAGTAACTTCCCAGAGTAAAGAAAACCAAAAGACAACTTGAATGTTGTCTTTGAACTCATGTAGAAGATGGTAATGAGAGGAGGGCTGTCTTCTCCTTTTGTTGAGTCTGTAGTGGATTAAACACATTGTGTGTTCCATTTAGGGAAAATTTTGCTGCCAGTAAAAGTTGTTAGTCATAATGAGAGAGTTACTTACTATGAGAAATGGTGGGATCTCTTTTTTAATAGATTTTATATATTACAAATATATATATATGTGCAGCTATTATAATAATTACATATCAATCATTTTTTCTAATTCTTTAAAAGTGAAAACTTGTCTCTGAGATCTTGGGCCAGCATTGACCTTTATAACATTTAATGGTATTTGGCTGAGTGAGCATTTTATTAGTTCTATTTTTGTCATGCTTAACATACTATGTGGCAATAGGAGATTATGTCTTAACAGCTATGCAGAGTATAGGCACAGAATCCAGACTCGGTCTCAGAGACTGAGTCTGCCACTTGCCAGGATTTCTCACTTTTATTATCTGTAAAAAGAATAGCTGATTGTCAACCTTACCGAGTGGTTGTATTTATTAATTGGTATGGGGGAAAACTTTAAAGCAGGGCCTGGCACATAGTAACTACTCAGAAAATGGGTAGTACTTTTTCCTAAGACATACGCCGTTCTATTATGGTTCAGACCATGATGTTCTCAAAAGTGTGCATTCCCTACTGAAAGAACGTTTTGCTTCTTGAGAGAATCTTTTTCTAGATAATTAACCCTTTAAAACCACTGAAGTAGATTGTATACCAATGAAGGAATTTTACTTTTCATAGAGAGGAGAGAACTGAGGGGGAGGGATAGGGAGGGAGAAAAATGCAACAGTGAATTAATGGAAATCTAAAATTTCTGTAATGTTTGTTAAAATTAATAAAATTTTTAAAAATCTTCTAAGAGAAAAAAAAAACACACCACCAACTACTGGAGTGAGAGCTTCTAGAGAGACAGAGGAGCAGGCTCCTTCCTAATGATTTACAGCCTCGGAAAGCCAATGGAGCTAGGAGTTGGCTCCAGTTCAGTGGCAATCAGCTTGAGGTTTTTGGAAAGATAACCTTACGACTTAGCAAAGAGAGCTACTTGCTACATTAGTCTCATAAAGTCATGACCCACAGTACTTATTACAGTAGATAAGGACACAGCCACAGTCACTACTCTCCATTTGATCCCCGAGTCTGTCACTTACCAACCATATGCCTTAATTTTCTCATCCATGTGATCTTAGAAGACTTCTACCACACGTTTGTGTTTTTGTTTGTTTGTTTCTTTGTTTTTAATGAACTCCTTTTCATGGACAAACTGCTCAGAAATGATGCTCTAAAAAGAAATGCAAACTCTTCTGTCCATTCGGGCATAAAATTACTCTGCCACCTGAATTTGTCAAAGGGATGTTAACCTGAAGGTAAGTATTTTATTTCATTGAAGATATATTAATAGGCATTTGATTAAAAGTATTTGTAAAAGTGTTTTTTTTTGCCCCTAGGAATAATTCGGGATTCACACCAGCAGACACCGTGGCTATCATGTTCTGTTCCACACACAAATCTCTAACACTGGGTAAGTGTTTCACAAAATTGATAACCCATATACACTATTTCCCTCATATTTATTTTTAAATTCAAGGAACTCCTAAATAGAATGAAATACTATGCACTCTGTGTGATAAAGAACAATAGCAAAGTGAGAATGAGTCATTGTTTTAAAATACTGTTGATTGAATGAGTTTCTGAGCACCTAAATCAAATAGCATTCAATTAAGCTTAATTTATAATCTTGTTTTTTATTTCCACAGAACAATTTTGTACAAGAATGTTAACATTAACTCTCAAGGGTAGACAGGGGCGGGGGTGGAACTGCTTCTGAAACAAGAATCATTCGGCAAACTGTGTGCTTGCATGACCGTAAAGCTGCCCCTGAAAAATGTTACTTCTTTTCTGAGAGCCCAGAGAAAGATGGAGAGGATGCTATTACTCTAATTCAATACAGCTGGTAGTTTGAAGTCCGTTTTGGAATGCTGTTATCTCTATTTGGAAAAGAACACCCACAGCCAGCCACCTTATAGTCAGCATTAACTCAATCTGAAATCGAAAGTGAAAAAGAGTTATTTATTTGTGGGACAAAAATAGATCAAGGAGGAAAATGCTATTTTCTTCTTAGCTTTACCCAGTTTAGTGCCTTTATACCAATAACCTGACCACACATTCGGAATCTATGCTTTTAATCATAAGAAGTCATTAGGTAATTAGAAATTTTATTGAAATAAACATCATTTACAAACTCCTTGGGGATGGTAGGCACACTTTTGGTAAAGACTGACATTGAAATATAGTAAAAATGCATTTTGGCTTGTGACTCACTGAAGTGAATGAAGAATTTTGACATTGCTCTAAGCCTGTGAGTGGTAAGACATCCAGTCTATAATCTAGAAGGTGAACATATATCACAATGTTTTTACTAATCTGAAACATATTTGTCTGACCTAGCCTCTATCAATCTTTCCAAGTTTATAAAGTGTTTTAGAACATTCTCTTTTAGCAGAAGTTGTTCTCTAGATCTTCAGCATATTAGAGTATTTTTTAAATATGAGCAATTTACTGCAATTTATTCATGAAGTGTCCTTTTCCATAATCATCATTAAATCAAAGTTGAAAGAAATTCAGAAGTCATGTTCAAATTCTGATTTTGTGACCTTGGACAGATCACTTCTCTAAACCTTAGCTTCCTCATTTGTAACATTTTGTTAGGTTATTGCAAAGATCAAAGACGAAATTTGAAAAGTGCCTGACACAGCATCTTATAACATGATAAAATGAATGTTGTCAACTGTACTGGAAGAATTGCTACAAATTTAAATGAGAAAGTCCATCTGCAGAGACTGATAAAGTGCCTGGCACATTGTTGTCGATGTTGGTGGTAGTGGTGGCATAAGGTGCTGTCAAATCAACTGTGACTCACAGTGAACCTGTGAACAACTGATCTGAACTTTTCCCATCCGGTGCCATCCTCGTGTTTTCTGATATGCAGGAGCCCACTGTTACAGTCACTGTGTCAGTCCGTGTCCGTTGCTCTAACATGATATATTTTTCCAAGGACCAGCCCCTTTTTAACAACATGCCCATACTCTGAGATGACATTTATCTATTTTTGTCTCTAAGGAGTGTCCTGCCTGCACTTCCTTTACGATGGGCGTGTTTCTTTTTTTGACAGTGTGGAATGTTCAATACTCTTCTCCAGCTCCAGGATTCAAAGGCACTGGTTTTTCTTCTGCTTTCCTTATTCATTGTCCAACTTTCAAATGCATTGGAAGCAATTGAAAATACCTAGTTTGGCACACCTTGTACTTTAAGCTGACTTTACTGCTATTTACCACTTTGGAGAAGTCCTTGACAGCAGATTTTCCCAGTGCAACATGCCTTTTCATTTCTTGACTACTGTTACCGTAGATGTTGATTGTAGAACCAAGAAAAATGAAATGTCTGGTAATTTCAATCTTTTCTCATTCTTTCGTGATGTTGTCTCTTACTTCTGTGCTAAGGATTTCTGTTTTCTTGATGTTGAGATGCAATCCATATTGAAGGCTGTGTAGTCTTCGATATTCCATAGTGATTGTTTCCAGATCCTTTTTCGCTTTCACCAAGCAAGATTGTGTCGTCTATGTTAATCAGGTTGTTGATGAGTCTTCCTTCAACTCTGATTTCACATCCCTGTAGTACAGTTTCTCAAATTATGTTTTTTCAAGTTACAGATTGTAGAGGGATGAAGACAAGATACAACCCTGACACAAACCTTTCCTGATTTTAAACCACTCTTTATTGTTGTTAAGTGCTGTCGAGTCAGGCAGGAACTCTATATTAGTTATTATTATGTTCATTATAATTTGTGTTTCTGCTTCCAGATATAGATTTTTTGTGACAAGTGTGATTTAGTTACTGACCTACAAGAAATTATCTTTTGTGTGCCTGCCACGTATGTTTTTGAAATATGGCAACTGGTCGTCTGTTGTTGCTGTTAGGTGCCATTGGGTGAACTATGGCTGATAGTAACTCTATGAACAACAGATCTGAACCTCCCTGTATCCTGTGCCTTCTTCACAATCTCCATCATACCCAAGCCTAGTGTGATAGACACTGAATCAATCTGTCTCGTTGAAGATCTTCCTCTCTTTCACTGATGCTCCACCTTCCCCAGCATGATGTCTCTCCTAAAATGTAAGGGACTGTTATGGAGGACAGTAAGCCAGAGGTCAGTATGCGGGTGCTGCCAGATGTGTAGGAGCCCAGTGTACAGGAATCAAGTGAGCAGTGCACCTCAAAGCACATGTGGAGCCAGGACTAACCCAAGTGCATTTCATCTCAAGATTTGCTTTTTGTCAAGAAAAACCAAAATGGAATTTCTTTTTCTTCCAAGATGTTTTGTCTGTGCTCCAACTGGCTGTGTTGAAGTCTACCCAAGAAGCATACCATAGTGTGGTAGTAGTCTTTTCTAGAATTTGAATTTTTCTACCAGTTTAATCTTTTGCCTTCATTTTTCTCATTCACCATTCCTGTTGCTTTCTGAAATTTCCAGATAAGCAAATAGGTGCTCTGAATACCAGTCACAACTACTTGTTTTTCTGGAAAGAACTGAATAAACGTGGAATTTCCTTTGCTTCTGCAGTGTTCTCTCATACAATAGATGGCTAGATCCTCCAATAAGATGCTAACTTTGTATCTCAGTAACAATGTAGTAATAAATCCTTTGGTTACTTCAATAATAGGATGTTGTTGTTGTTGTTGTTGTTATGTGCGTCGAGTAGCTTGTGACTCATTATGACCCTATGTACAACAGCCCTAAACTCTGCTCTGTCCTGTGCCAATTATACTGTCTCTGACACTCCCATCCCATTTATCCCAGTCACTGAATCCACCTCATAGAGGGCCTTCCTCTCCTGCGCTGTCCCTCCACTCTCCCAAGCATGATGTCCTTCTCTAAGGACCGGTCTCTCCTCACAACATGTCCAAAGTATGTTAGACGGAGCCTCAGAATCCTTGCTTCCAAGGAGTAGCTTGGTTTAATCCTCTCCAGGATGAATCTGTTTGTTTTCTTGGCAGTCCATGGTACATTCAGTACTCTTCTCCAGCACCACAGCTCAAAGGCATCAATCCTCCTTCTATCCTCCTTGGTCATTGTTCACCTCCCTGATGCATAACAAGTGATTGCAAAGACCATGGCCTGTATCAGACGCACCTTAGTCTCCAGAGAGCCACCATTGCTCTTCAGTACTTTGGAGAGGTCCCTAACAGCAGACTTTCCCACAGCAATGCGCCTTTTAATTTCCTGGCTACTGGTGCCAAGAGTGTTGACTGTGGAGCCAAGCAAACTAAAGCTGTGAACAATCTCCATCTCTTCACCATCTATCCTGATGCTGCCAATTGGTCCAATGGTGAGAATCTTTGTCTTCTTGACATTGAGCCTCAGTCCATATTGTAGGCTGCAGTCCTTGACACTCTGTAGCAGGTGCTTCAGGTCCTGCTCTGTTTCAGCAAGCAGGGTTGTGTCATCTGCATAACGCAGATTGTTGATAAATCATCCACCAATCTTGGCCCCACATTCTTCCTCATAGAGCCCTGCCTCCTGGATAGTCTGTTCTGCATACAGGTTGAAAAGGTATGGAGATAGGATGCATCCCTGGCATACGCCCTTCCCAATTTTGAACCATGCAGTGTTCCCTTGCTCTGTTCTGACAACTGCCTCCTGGTCCAAGTATAAGTTCCACATTAGAACGATCAGGTGTTCTGAGATTCCCATTCTTCTCAGAGTCAGCCATAGTTTGTTATGATCTACACAGTCAAATGCCTTTGCATAGTCAAGGAAACACAGGTATTCTCTGCTTTCAGCTAAAATCCATCTAACATCAGCTACAATATCCCTAGTACCAAAACCCCTTCTAAACCCAGCCTGGACTTCTGGCAGTTCTCTGCTGATGTGCTGTTCCAGTCGTTTTTGGATAATCTTCAGTAGACTCTTGCTTGCACGTGAAATCAATGAGATTGTTTGAGAGTTTCCACACTCTGTTGGGTCACCTTTCTTTGGGATGGGATAGTTCTCTTAAAATTGCAAAGCCTGCATACTGGTCCTAGCTTTTCTACTAACATCTCCCCATGTTCCTGTTTCCTTATCTATAAAATTAAGGAATTTGAATGAAGAAATTCTAAAGCTACTTCCAGCTCAAATATTCTGTCATTCTGTGATCACTCCTGACTTCTCTTCTGGTTTTATGTAGCCAGCATTTACGTAAGTAGACTCTTGATTCAGAGAAATTAAGTGGATCATACCTGTGCTGGGTTTACACATACAGCAGGAAGTGCTTGAGTTCTACTGCCAGACTGAGCCTTATGAAACCCTGTCATTTCCTGTCCTGACTCTCACAGGATCCAGGCATGTTTCCCTCTCCTGGTGGCCTGCTATTACTAGTGAAGAGGCTCTCCCATGACAAGTGACCTGAGCTACAGACAGATAATCACCCCAGTGACATTCTTATATGTAAGGAAATGATAGACCATCACTAGGAGTATAGA